TCCTTTAGTGTTAGCTTCTAAAACATGGAATTTTGGGTGAATATGGAAGATAGAAAAGGATCTTGCTTTAGTCCTAGTTTTGGGAACTTGGACTTCCTTTGTTTGATCTGAGTTTGGTAGGGAATAGCTTGTGTAGTCATGTCGGGTTTATATCAAGTGCCTCATTTGGATTGTGGGAACATTAAAGGGCATTGTAAACGTTGCTTTAGGGTACACTTGACTTCAAAGAAGTGTGCCCAATAACAACAATGCCTACATCCCTTTTGTATTTAATTTTTATTCTTTCTTTTTCTTTTCATTGCACCTAGTCGTCTCTTACTTTGCTATGAGTCTTTCTACTGCTTCTTTATCTAGGCTTTGATATTCGATGCTTACAAATATCGAAAGGGTTAGAAAACAAAACCTCCTCTCATTTCCTACAACTTTAGTGACACTTAAGGACAAAAATTAATGATCGAGTCTTAGAAAACATATACTTAGGATGCATGCTACCTGTAGGGTAGAGACATCAAAACAAAACTTAGTGACACGTTTTCCTAGGTTTAGTTCTTCTTAATCCATTAATAATCAACCAATAATTTATAACCTAACTCTTAAAATGTGTTAAAATATTTAATTCTTAATCAAGTTATTGTTAATATTCGTAATCATTAAACTATAAATCTAAAACATACATCTAAATCGAATCTAATTAATCTAATAATAAACACCTGACCAATCTAAAGTTTAAAAGCTGTAGACAAAAATTAGGAGACTAAACATAAACTAAAATTTCTTAGGATAAAAGACTCCTAAATATCAAACCTTAGATCAATTTTTAAAATCAATCAACAAATTTGATTAATAAATTGCCTAATCTACATTTCTTTTATAATTTATAACCAACTAATAATTTAACAAAGTTGATTATCACTGGGTAACCCAGGCCTACGAGGCTATTAAGTTAGCCCCAAGGAGGGTGAAATAAACCTCACGGCCTCGGTGTGAAACAAAGATGGTAACCAATCAAATATTAAAATACAATCTCTAAAATCAATCTTAAAATATCAATACTTAAATTTCAATTAAAATCTCCCTTTTGCCCTCTAACAAATCAAAATACAAGCAACTTGAATTAAAACTATCCTACATAGGACCTATCCAAAATCACACATACCTTAGACATGTTTGATTAGAACACGACTTTTAGCTCTAGGTCAGGCTTACATTTTCTTTCGTTATTCAATGCTTGTTATATATACATGTTCTATAAATGCAATTATTAAATTTCCTGTTAGCTATATTTAGTTTTCTGTTAGTTATATTTTTGTTATTTACCTGCATTTCTTTTCTGAACGGCATTTACGCTCATATATATATTTCTCTGTTATCTTTTCTTGCGAGGTACATTGGAGCTTAATGATCGGGAGCTAAACGGGACCGTTTGCTTATAAGCTTTTAAGTGGCAGCGCCACATACAGTCAGGTATAATTTCTGCAGCTTGCAAAAATAAATCTTTAATTATGTATCGGAACTGCTTCATATCACACACTACTTGTTAATAGGTATTCTAGCATGTTTAGGTAGCCAGCCATAGGGTAGTGCACTAACGAAGCTTTGGCCCTATAGGTCAAAGCTTGCCCCCTTCTGTGAGCCATAGAGACCATTAGGGTCATTTAGGCCTGTAGAGTAGGCCACCTATTATGTCGGTTGGCATCATTGTTTTCCCACACGAAGTGGGCATTGTTATTTTTCTGCTAGGATTTTGGTCTTTTCCGGTTTTGGGTATGATACCCCCCACCTTCTGTGAGCTTTAGAGACCCTTAAAATCGTTTAGGCCTGTAGAGTAGGCCACCTATTTATGCCATTGGACATCGCTGTTTTCCCACACGAAGTGGGCATGACTATGGTGATTTTCTGTGCGGGTATCTTGCCTGAAGGATACCCTTATGGTGTGTTTATTTATTTTTTTTGTACTATGGATGTCATGCATACGTTCTTACACACTTTTCTTCACAATGCACTTTACCTACATACATGCATTGCATTAGTGGACCTAAGGATCTTTCTTACTCGTGCATTTGTTTCATGCATCATTAACAACTCTAGATCTATTCCTTTGCATATTGTAGAGTCCCTGATTCAATTCTTTCGAACTATTAATCCTTGATTCCTTAGGATAGACCCTTCCCATCTTGCATACATATAGGGCGATTGGTTGTGCTTAGGATTTTAGCTGGCATCCTTTTTCAGGCAAGGAATAAGTCCAGATTGCATTAGCTAGGTCGTAGATGTCAGTATCGTATGTACGATACTACATCTTTTATAGATTTAGGGTCTAAAGGTGAGTGGTAAGAGTGAACCACTATACACCTTATTGGTGGGTAAGCTTTCCTTTCTTTTGAAAGCTATAAATCCTACCCATCCGCGTCGCACAGATGACGCCACCTCCTTCTTTCCCTCGTGCATGTCTGAGTGCGTTGTCCTTCCTTTTTCTCTAGTTTCCACTTCTTCGAGCCGTCCGGATGTTGACTGAACCATACGTGTTGATTAAAGCCAATTTGGGACATTCTTCCTCTTTGATTAGGAAAGCCTAGAATTTGCCCTTGCACTAAACTCATTAGAGAAGATAATCTAACATCCTTAATCGAGAGTTTTCCTAAGTCAAGGCTTAGGATGTAATTAACTACGGGGGCTTGCGCCCGTAAAAAACCGATCCCCACAATCAAATAAACCCTATTCGATGCTGATGTATCGAATAGGGAAAATCTCGTGAACTTTTGGGTTATAGATATTATTATCCATCGAGGTTGGTAGGTGAAAGCCGCTATCCTCCATGGCTAATCGTATCTATAACTCCATATGCTCTTCCATCGGCCTGCTTGTGTCGGGTGTAAAGGCCTATGACCATTTTGTCCTACGGGATAGTGTGATTGTACCCTTTGCATTCGAACCCCATAAGCAGCATCCTTTCGGAGACCCACATCATCAGCAAAAAGCATACACCAAAGTACATCCTCATGCAAATGTCTAGTGAGAACATCCATGACTAAAGCAAAAAGAAATGGACTTAAGGCTGATCCTTGATGAATCCAACCGAAATAGAAAAATACTTGGTTAAACCACCTTGTGTTTGAACACAAGTAATAGCTCATGCATACATATCTTTAATGATTTGAATATAAGCATTATTAACTCTTTTCTTTTCAAGAACTCTCCATAGCACTTCTCTTGGAACTTTATCATATGTTTTCTCTAAATCAATAAATATCATATGTTGATCCTCCTTATTTTCTCTATATTTCTCTATCAAACCTCTCAATAAATGTATGGCTTCCATAGTAGACCTACCCGGCATGAATCCAAATTGATTTTGAGAAACATTAGTATCACGCCGCAACCTACGTTCCATAACTCACTCCAATAGTTTTAAAGTATGACACATTAACTTAATTCCTCTATAATTCGTACACTCTTGTGCATCACCTTTATTCTTAAAAATAGGAATTAACACACTCATTCTCCACCGATCTGGCATCATTTTAGTCTTCAAAACAGTATTAAAAAGTTTAGCAAGACAAAAAATTCCTTCATCTCATAAGCATTTCCACATCTCTATTGGAATATCATTAGGTCCAACAGCTTTTCCACACTTCATTTCCTTCAAAGCCTCTCTAACTTCGGTTTTACTTATACGCCGATAAAAACAAAATTCTTTATTTTCATTTAGGATGATAAATTCACTAAAGTCAATCGTATTTTCACATTCTTCATTAAAAAGTTTAGCAAAATATATCATACACACCTTTGTTGAATATCATCTTTTAAGAAAAGTACTTTTTATTCTTTATCATTAATATACTTCACTTGAATTAAATCCTTACTACTCCTATCTCTTTGTTTGGCTAACTTATACATATATCTTTCTCCCTCAGTATTTTAATCTATTATATAAATCATTAAAAGCTAAACTCTTTGCATCGTAAATAGCTTTTTTAGATTTCTTATTAGACTCTTTATAGCTTTTCCAATTATCAGAATTTTTACATATAAACCAATTTTTATAACAAATCTTCTTATTTTTTATCTTTTCTTGCATATTTGGATTCCACCACCAACTACTTTTACTATTAGTAATTTTTCCCTTCTAAACTTCAAGCACATCTTTTGCAATATTCTTAATGTCACAAGCCACCTTTTTCCACATAATATTGGCATCCTCATGCACAGACAGAATCTTAAGATCTAAAATCTTACTCTCAAAAATACTTTTGTTAATATTATTTAAATGCCCCCATCTAATTCTAGAAAATCATTTTACTTGATTTTTTATTTTTTGTCCTTTTATCTTAAAGTCAAAAACTAATAATCGATGTTGGGTACATAAATTTTCACTCGGAATAACTTGACAATCTTTGCAATCTAAACGATCTAATTTTCTTATAAAAAAATCATTTTACTGAAATTTGGAATAGTGTAGCAAAAGCAGTTTTTTTTTTTTTCAAAAGCAGTTAGCTGCTCTTATGGATCAAACAAATCAAAGTTAAATAATGTCAAAGCCCTTATACTTAGTGGAGATCTTTGACGAGACGATACATATGAAATTCTTTCCTTTATTTTGAATATTGATAACAAAACATAGTCCCTGAAAATGAAAGCAATCACCATGGTAGATGCAAATACAAATCTTAAAACAAGATTCAATACATATATCATAAAAAAAGTAAATCCTGAGGTCGACAGCAAAAAGCCATGACATACAATTAAGGATTGCTATAAAAGAAAGCTAGAACAAAGGCAAAAAAAAAAAAAAAAAAAGGAAAAAAAAAAAAAAAAAAAACGAAATCGTGAATATTGTTATTAAAAAATTAAAGATGTATTGATCCTCAATGTTGATAGTCCGATAGAATTATGCATTTGACCCAAATGCATCACTTTTATTCTTTTTTCTCATAAAGAATTAATGATAAGTTTCTACAGGCATTTATGAAAAAGCATTTCTTGTTAACGATGAGCTCTTACATATTATGTGCATCGATAATGTGATACTCCAAAACATAAATATAGTCACATAGATGCTGAGTAAGATCAGACATATTCCTGGCAAAGAGAAACCTGATTTCTATAAGAAAGCTTGCAGCTGAATGATATAATGCCACATTCAATATTAACACCTAAAAGCTAACCAAATGAGCCATAGTGATTACTAGAGAAAATAAAACCGGTATACTCTACAACACCACAAGTTCCGAATAAGAGACTAATATTTGGCATAAAAAGGTAGGCCACGAAAGGCCTAAAGATACTTCATTCTCAAGATAAATTTTTATATTTAAAATATATTGAATCAAGCTAATTATAAATATTACATTTTAAGAAAGCAAAGAAGAGTCAGTTTAAAAAAAAAAAAAACTAAAACCCAAGAAGCTAAAATTGGTTCATAAAGTTGCCTGGGATCATCCCCCTCCAATAGCTAGGCGGCTCAATATACCACGTCACATTCATGGCGCCAAATGTAATTTAAGTGCGTCTATATATAATTCATTTAATAATTTAAATAAATTTTAAAATTAAGAGACTTAGGTTGAATCAACTCTTAATTGATCCTTTCAACTAGATTGGACTTGCACGATTTGAAATAAAAATTTTCAATAATTTCAGTTTGGACTAGCTCACTTGAATTAGACTCAATATAGTAGTGTGTGATGCATTTTTGAATGGCGCCAAATCTATGGCACATACCTGAGAACATAGATATTTTGAACGCTTAAACTAACTATACTATAGCATATTAGAATTAAAATTTCCAAGAACTCCAGAAAAGCAACCTCTTAATTATTTGCCGCATTCAATGAGTAATGTTACAACATTATCAATACCAATTGTGAAAACTCAAAAGCAACAACAAATAGGTTCCTAGTACCCATACCAAACTTAGTAAAGAACTGATCCGTTAAAATAAAGGATTCAGCAAAGGCCATACAAACTTAAGGTTCAAGCATCAAAATATATAAAGTAGTTGAAAATTTTCTCTTTCTTTATGCGAAGGCATCATGAGCACCAAACTTCTCTACTATTTTCACATCAAGACTTCACTGTACGGCAAGTATTTCAATAAGCACTTGACATTTTATGACCAAACTATTAGGAGTTTATATGATAGAAGTTCAGCATAAATTAATAAATGTCTAATTTTATCTTTTTCATTCAACCAACTTTAGAATTTTTTTTGTTTCACCTTAAAGTACATGGCTTTCAACATAGAAAAGTCAAATGAGGATAGACTTTTCATTTTTTAAATGTGAAAAACCTCACAAATGAGTTTCTAGGGATAAAATGTCATGCTTATGAAAACAAATTTCAAGCACAATTACCCAATAATTCCCTGAAATGTTTCCTAAAAAATTTTGAAACAGAGAATAAATACATGTTAGAGCTTTTTTACAACAAAAATTACCGAGAAAATTCAATAGGAGTAAACTGTGGAATCTATCATCAAAAGTAGTAAATAGAAAAAATTATAAGAGTTTATATCTCTTTGAGGCTGCAGGGGAGATATACTGTTCTTTTTGCTGCAATCTAGAAGCTAGTGATGCGGATTTTTTATAACAAGAAGCCTCCAAGATAAATTTTGTTAGAAATTTAGAATGCAATGAATACAATAATCATGCATAGAAAAAAAAAACCATTACTTTCAGTACAACAAAAGTTAGAAAGGAAATGCCCTTACCCTGAAACAAGTGCAGCCATGCTATCAATGACAAGCAGCTTCACCTCATGCTGAAGAAGTTTCAATTTCATCTGTTGCAGGCTGCAATAACAAGGTGTGTTGCATTAATAAAAAAAAAAAAAGGTGTGTTGCATTAATAACAGGTTTAAAAGTTAAATAAAGCAAATCTGTCTAATAAAAGAGTCAGCTAAAGCATGTCAGCAAACATCTTATAAGCAAAATACAATCATTAAAATGATATTTGTTTTTTAATCAAATTTATAAAAATAAAATAAATGTTTTATAGCTTGTGTTGGGGAAAAGCACAAACCCGAGAGCAATGGCATGCAAGAGAACATGAAAAATAATATGCAATAATAACATTAGTGATTCAATGAGATTCACCTAAGTCTAAGAACACACAGAAAAAAAATAATCAATAATCCAAACAAATACAGGATAAAAATATTTGCATAACCAAATGTTTTTCACATTTATCTCACTAGCACTCTTTACTCTCTCCCTTATTACCTCTACAGACTTGAGCACAATCCTCTATTGCTATGCTCAACAGAATTAGAGAAAAACATGACCCCTTCTATGTTAGATAGATGGCTTTAGGTGATATGAAATTTTAGAGGTTTGCTAGAGTTTCTTGGAATATACAAAAAATACGTAAAATAAATCCATGTGTATATTCTAGATTTTACAATCAAGGTTATCGAAAAAATTATCTTCAAATCTCAATGATCTCCTACTTTGAGATAAGATTTTAAAGTATTATCTTCATCTTTGTGCAACAACCCCTCTCAAACATCTACAGGGGTCAACTAAGGTCTGTAATAGCACAATTCATCAATCATAAACCTATCATCATTAATCATCATTCTTGTCTTGCTATTTTCTTTGTTCCTTGATTTTAAAATATTATTTGCCTTCCAATGCCATTTTCCCTTTGTAAGCACCAACTTGAAAAATGTTATCAAACATTGCACCTCCAAAAGCACTAGTATTAGATTTATTTGTTGTTTCCAATATATGGTGTTGGATATCATGTACTTGACAGTATGACACCAACTTTTTCTTCCATATGCTATCACCATGGCACCCTTATTCACCTTCCAAGAATTAGCATAGAAGATTGAGATATAAGCTTCTTCATCAAGCCATAATGTGATCAAGTTCCTCTTTAAGTCAAGAATGAGCCTTACATTGTGAAGCTTCCACATAGTTGATGGGAGCGGAGGTGTAACCTAAAGAATTGTAAAAATAAGTTAGGGCTCTATCAATTCCTAAACAATGCTTCGATTTTCTTTGATATAAAAATTATAAAAATCTCAATATACGCAAGTATACGTGCCGAATCAAGCAATATAGTGATGAAGTAGAGTATCGATCCCACGAGGAAAAATGTCACGACCCGTCCCGGATGCTCGATCTAACGAGGCGGGTACGAAAAGTCAGACGGTAGTACATTTCCAAAAGTATAAATTTACTCA